CGATCTAAAGTTGTTTCCAGACACGAATGTTCGCGGCCCCATTACTGACACTTTACTGACGCGGCAGAACGATTCCTGGAGATGGATTAGACAATTCACCGCCTTTTATCTTAATGAAGGGAAAACAAACCATCATTGCGCCCCCCACCCCTTTCCCTCCCCAGAGTGCTGCTCCCTGTACAGGCTGGGTCTCCGAAATGACAATTGGCCATGTGATAGGGGCCCCCTGATCTTAAGGGCCTGGGGGTCACCCTGTCCTACTTATGTCTTGGATTTGGAGGCGGGGTCATGCTAGTCTTGGGATGCATTCTGTTTCCTGCCAGTAACATGTCACCTTTTGTGTCTCCGCAGTGAATTGGTTTCCTGGCTGATGGAGAATGGGGAGATCAGCAAACCCGAGGAAGGAGTCAACCTGGGCCAGGCTCTGCTAGAGAACGGCATCATCCACCATGGTGAGATTGTCCTGTCCCTGTGCCATTAAAGTAGAACTCTGCCCGTTCCCCCCCCGCCAACATAAAACAAAAGACTGCCGATGTCCACTTACCTCCTCCGCGCTCCTGCGCGGCCCCTGACTTCCTCCTCGGCACCAGGGGTCCTCTACAGCAGTGCTTCTTAAAGTGTGGGTCGCGACCCCATATGGGGTCCCGCAAGTGAACAGGGGGGTCGCGATCCGAGTCCCCGGCCAAGACCGCCATCAGGGTGGTATGGCCGTTACTTGTGTGAGGGGCCCAGGCAGCCGAGCTAGATTGTTTTATTTCAGTTTAATGTATAATTTGTAGTGTAGTTTTTAAGGTCATGGCCCCTCCTGTGCACTTGGTTGCCGTCACCAGAATTCAAGAAAAAAGTGTATAGGGTCTAGAGAAAAGGAATACCGGGGGGGGAAGAACGGGGGAAGGGGTTCTGTGACTGAATCATTAAAAAATAGATTAAAAATTAATAATTTACGGCCCGGCTCCTTCTACAAAAGTCATCGGCTGGATGGTGACTGAAGCCAATCAGCTGCACTCACTGTTCAGCCGTGGGTGCCAGGTGTCAGAATACAATAGCCTGGTGGGGTAGTATTCCTCACTCATGCTGTGTAGTGTGTATGGGGGAATGAAGTGTTATTTCTTCGGGCCCGCGGTCTTTGTCTTTTTATTGTAGTTTTGTCTTTAGATTAGCCTTGTCGGGGGTTCTCCTCGCAGCGGGAGCCGGTGTGATAACATTCGTATCTCTCCTGCACATCGGAGATATCACACGTGCTGGTTATCTGTCCTCGTGATCATTCTGCATAAGCCGGCCATCATAGACGGGTGATCTACACTGTGCCCCCCCCCCATGGGGCTTGCCAGTCATGTGAAATCTAAAAATACAGCCCCGGGTCTATACAGCAATGTAAACATCCTCCACCCTCAGCCAGAGGAAATCCTGACATTTGTCTCCATAGGTTCTATTCAGCGCATTTCCTCTTCCCGTCATCCCCGTCCTGCGGCGTGCTGCGTCCTCTGCACCCAAACCAAACGCACAGCAATGGCTGACTGTCACTTGTAGAATGAGGTCAGCTCCGCTGTCTGTGCTCCTTGTTGGGGAGCACAGAGGTGAGACGTTTCCTGGGGGAACCCTTGTTGGGGAGCACAGAGGTGAGACGTTTCCTTGGGAACCCTTGTTGGGGAGCACAGAGGTGAGACGTTTCCTGGGGTGTGTTGCCAGGGTTGCACACATCTCAGGAGGGATTTTGGTCCCTTTACAGATCTTCTCTAAATCCTTCAGGTTTCTTGGCTGTCGCTCGGCAACTTGAAGTTTCGGCTCCTCCCATAAATGTTCTATAGGATGGAGGTGTGGAGACTGGCTGGGCCCCTCCATGACCATAATGTGCTTCTTCTTGAGTCACGGCTTTGTTGCCTTGGTGATATGTTTTGGGTCGTTGTCATGCTGAGAGACCCGCCCACGACCCATCTTCAGTGTTCTGGCTGAGGGAAGGAGGTTCTCCTCCAAGATTTCACAATACGTGGTGCACGTCCATTGGCCCCTCAAGCGGCAAAGTCGGCCTTTGGTTGATATTCTGTCTCCAGTGGCGTAACAATCGGCCGCTATGGGGCCCGGGCACAGGGGGGCCCGCCCAGGACACCCCCCCCTGATGCCGTGCGGGCCTCCTGGGTCGCTATGGCTTCGAACGCGCCGCTGTTCAGATCACTGTCGGTGATCGGTGCGGCGCTGCGTTCTTCTCCACAGCCGCTGCTGAGTCGACGAGAGCCGGCAGCGGCGGTGGAGGAGGCTGGGCCCGGCAGGGGAGAAGGAGGCGGGGCCGGTGACTGAGCTGGAGGCGGGGCCGACGACGGAGGAGGGAGCTGGCCCCGCGACGGAGGAGGGAAGACGGAGGAAGAAGAGGCAGGCAGGTAAGGAGTGCGACCAGCCAACCTGAGGGTGACCCTGCAGAGCCCACCATAGAGAGTCTATGGTGGGCTCTGCAGTCAGGCGAGCTGCGTGGGATCTCACGTGGGCTCTTCAAGGGGTGTAACTAGAAATCACGGGGCCCCATACAAAATTTTGCTATGTGATTTCTAGTTACGCCCCTGTCTGTCTCTATCATGTAAAATACACCTACGATACAAATGATAGACCTTTCATTGCTTTGTATTCTGCAGGCGAGCCAATCATTCTTTTCCTCACTGTAAACCTTTCACGCCTTGCAATGTGAATCCATCCAGCGCAGATCCCATATGGGGGGGGGGAGGGGATTGGAGGTTGTTGGGAATCATTACAGACAGAGAATCTCCCAGAAGCCGGAATTGATCCCGGCCGGATATCTGACTTGTTTGGATCCATTGAGGAGATCAGATCTGACGGTATTCCTGAAGCTCTGTCCGGGCCGAGTCCGACGTTCGGCGGTCTCGTGAAATATACTGCGAAATATCTCTGACTTGCTGCTTGTCGAGAAAGGCCCCGTTCACATTGAGCGATTTATGGCGCGGTAATTCCCGCGATATCGCGGCTATTTACCGCGCGATATCGCTCTCCAATGCAAGGCAATGGGGCAAAGGGTCCTGCTGTCGCGGGTCGTGCGTGGCTACAGCGGGACCCTTTTTGGAGCGGATTTTGCCCGCGGTCCCATTCTTTGCAGTGCAAGCATTTGCGCGATATCGCAATTGCGCAAAATGCAAACCGCGCGTTTGCGCGCAGTGTGAATGGGACCTAAATCATTTATCTGCGCTGAGACGTTTATTATGTGAGTGACGGCACCCCCTGCAGGGGGGATACCCACGGCTCAGGACACACCGCTTACCTCCAAAGGCTCATTGCCTTCAGTATCTGTAACTCCTCTCACTTCCCTTTTTACATCTGATCAATGAAACGTTTGCACAGATACATATTAATGATTGATTGGTTTGATCAGTTTCAGATAAGCATCAGTTTAAGAATGAACAGGTTCTCTATCGCTTCCGATACGACGACGGGACGTACAAAGCCAGGAGCGAGCTGGAGGACATCATGTCGAAGGTAAGAGATCCCATCGTCTGCAGCCAATTCCTGATCAGTCCGTTCAGATGTAGATTCCATTGATGGGTGGAGGCAAAATCTGCCGCCTTAGGTTTGGTGAGACCTCCCCATTATAGTTATTATTATTATACAGGATTTATAGAGCGCCAACAGTGTGCGCAGCGCTGTACAATATACGGAAGGCATTACAATCACCATACAATTCAAGACAAGATGGTAAGGAGGGCCCCGCCCCTGAGGGCTTACAATCTAGAAGGGAGGGGGAAGTGATACATGAGGAATATCCTGATAGTTCATGTGTCGGCCCACTTTGGGGTGTCCCCAGTCCCTCTTCAATCTATATGTTATAGGCCAGGAGCCCTTGTAATGGCTGCGGAGCTGGATGACCTCGCTGCTATGGTTATCTCCCGGTATTACTCCTGGTTCTAGATGGAGTGTCCCTTCCATGCACCCCACAAGGCACTATATAAATCCATCCATCGGACGACTCGCGGATCGCTGAAACGTACTGCGCCACTGCTCTGGCTCTGTTTTAGGGTATAAGCCCCGTTGTGTGTTCTCATCCTAAGTATCTCATTTGATTTCCTGTTTCCTTTCATCTCTCAGGGGGTCAGACTCTACTGCCGGCTGCACAGTCTGCTCACGCCAGTTGTCAAGTAAGTGCGCAAAGGGACTCATGCTGTGGCTGTGTGTGTGTGTGGTAGATCGGTGCAGGTTTATAATGGCGGCTTCATTGATGGGAGGCCACTGAGCCACAAGAGCCCCCGGGGGGGGGAGCGGAGACTCGTACAACCCCGTGCCGCAGCCGCTCTGTGCAATGCGTATGTAATATATATGATCATAGCTGGTCAAACGCATTCATATTCTTCTGATTCAGCGTCCGGTTCCCCCGCTCACACTGCACCGCGTGGAGGAAACACTCTCCTATTGCTGGCTATCCCAGAATGCGGCTGCTTGAATCTCTGCATGGTGACTGCGTGACTATCTGCATCTGGCTCGGTGAACGGTCTGTGAGGGCTGGATAGGCCTGGAGCCGAGTGTCAGGCTTCCATCAGCAAAACACCGACCTGACTCCCATCAGTGACCCTTTCCTGCTCAGACATCTTACAGACCATGTGACTGTCACTATATATACAAATATATATGTTCCTGGCAATCAGAAGAGGAGCCAAGTGGCAGATGAAATGTTTAACCCAAGCCGAGGTCTGGGCAGGGTGCTGTCACCTCTCTCCAACCTGATATTTATATACGAATCCTTTTGAGAGCCTGTTCACATGAGTTTCAGGTCCGGATCAGGTGCGGATCAGCAGACGCGGTGCTATGTGTTTTGCCGCGTTTTTGCCATGGGATGCATTTTTAGTGCAGGAGCGTACGGATCAGGTCAGCACAGAAAACGGAGGTCGTGTGCACAAGCCCGTAGTCGGCACATATTTGTTTTTCAGTTTTCCTGAACTTGTTACATTGTTTCATTTTAAAGCTATATATAAACATTGTGATGTTCAAGTGAAATGACTGACCGGTGAAGAGCTCAGCGTGGCACAGCAAGCTTCTCCTCCAGTGAATATGACGGGTTACGCCGGTTGGAGGGGGGCGTAGAATGCCGGGAGTCTCTTTGGATGTATAAAATTGATTTCACACGATAAGTGGGAACGCGATGAAGAGGAGTGCTGAGATTGTCTACAATTTAAAGGCATGTTTAGTAACAATGCTGCCAAGACCCGATGCGTGCGCGGCCGCTGCTTGCACCCTGTAGGAAGCCTGGATGGGCGAGGAGCGGCTTTCAATTTTGGGGCGTTCTGCGCTCGCGCTGGGAATGCGTGGAATGTGTGCGGTCGGGTGCGGTGAGCTCCCAAAACGTGTGCAAAGCATATTTATTACATCTCAGCGATAAACGCACGTTTTCCATTGTTCATCCTGATTAAAATGCTGATAATGCAGAAAAACACCCATTGCAGACAGTGAGCTCCAAACTTCCTGTTTGGGCTGACAACACTGCTTGTGTTCGTTTACATTCCATACAAGCATTGTCAGCCGTGCCTACTGGACTAAAGAACTCCTGACCCTTTACCCCGACCTACCCTGCCCCTGTATACATTGCTTTCTTTACAGGTAAACAATGCTGCTGCCTGGCCTCTGAGGGTCCCAGCCATACACTGAGTGTAGGGAAAGGGCTCTTGGAAGATGTAACTCTGGGGGCGTGCCATCAGGAATGAAGCTCCTAGCAGCTGTCCCTGTAATCATTTTAGAAGCCTGGTGATGATGTCACAGGGAATAATGAAAGATTGGTGGATGGGCAGGAGAAAGTTTCCATGGAAGATCTTATGGCAGCAGCTGGTATGAGACTCTATGAGCTTTTCACCTACTCCATCCTGTCGATGTTATGACATATCATCAATGTCTTGTCACCGCAGTTCATCATTGCACTTGTTTATAAAGTTGTTTTAAGTGTTTTCGGCTCATTTTTAGCAGAAAGCGACCGAGATGAAAAGAACAAAACCGAATACATTTTATAGAACGTAGAATTGTCATTTACAACAACGTTTTACCTCGTTTACGGACTGACGTCGCCGTACCTCACACCAGACCCGTTCCCGGCAATGGAAGACACGTGGAGAGCTGATATGTTTTTTTTTTTACTTTGTTTACCCGTCCCACTTCCTCCTTTCCTATATCAGCACCACAACTTTCCATTTCAGATTTTGATTGGTTGAATGATTTATAAATTTAGCAGCTAATTACGAGGACCCTCAGGAGATGCTAATCAGTATTTCTGCTGCACTGTAGATATCGGCAGTCCTTGGTGACACTGCTGATGGCGGATGGAGATTATGAGGGTCTATTCCCCGGAGCATGCCCCCCCCCCCCAAGCATTGTGCAGGGCAGCTGCGGCGGTACGGAGAAGACGCCATTGTCATGATAACAAGACACACGGTGAGGTCATCTTATCAATCCCAGTTAACATAATCACCAAATCAGATCATCTAGGAGAAGTAGGAGATAAATGTGGACGGACGCTATAAAAAGATAAGAACATCACAAGGAAAGAATCCGGATTATAGGCAGAAATCTGCTCAGTTCTGGATCAGTAAGATTTGTATCGATGCCTCGTGATAGACGTCATGTCTATTAAGATATGACATCTGTCAAGACACGGCGTCTAACAAGACACAACGTCTATCAAGACCTGGCGTCTACCAAGACATGACTTCTATAAGACCTGGCGTCTACCAAGACATGACTTCTATCAAGACACGACTTTTACCAAGACCTGGCGTGTATCAAGATATGGCGTCTAACAAGACATGGCGTCTATCAAGACCTGGCGTCTATCAAGACCTGGCGTCTACCAAGACATGGCGTCTATCAACACATGACGTCTACCAAGACCTGGCGTGTATCAAGATATGGCGTGTAGCAAGACATGGCGTCTATCAAGACCTGGCGTCTACCAAGACCTGGCGTCTACCAAGACCTGGCGTCTACCAAGACATGGCGTCTACCAAGACATGATGTCTATCAAGACCTGGCGTCTACCAAGACATGACTTCTATCAAGACACGACTTTTACCAAGACCTGGCGTGTATCAAGATATGGCGTCTAACAAGACCTGGCGTCTATCAAGACCTGGCGTCTACCAAGACCTGGCGTCTACCAAGACAGGGCGTCTATCAACACATGACTTCTACCAAGACATGGCGTCTACCAAGACCTGGCGTCTACCAAGACCTGGCGTCTACCAAGACATGACTTCTATCAAGACCTGGCGTCCGTCAAGATATAGCGTCTACTAAGACCTGGGCGTGTCTATCACGAAGTGAGTGTTTGATGAATGGACTCTGGGAGGTGTGTTCAGTATGCACGTCGCTGTCCGGTGTCACCTCGCTGGAAACAATTGATAAATAAAAGGAAACAAAGATTCTTCTATTTAATAACAATTCACAATGCTGATCATCACAAAGAGAAGAAATAAAACTGCTTCAGCCGCACCTAGGGGAAACATTTCTCGGGGCTCCATGTTGGATACAATATCAAGAGATGTCACCAGCACTCCGAATATCTGTTCCACATAAGTCAGAGATGGTCAATGTTTCTGGGCCCCGTAGGGTTAATTGTTTGAGGAGATATAGTGACGACCATGTCGCCCAGAGGAAGAGACCCTACAAGGTCCATAAACTTTGACTATTGTAGCCAACCACAGTTCTTGGCGCGCGAGCTTCACAGGAGCGGTGACACCAGAAGTGGTAGAATGAGTGCCATTGTGGTGTCACCAGAGGCAGATCACAGCTGTAGCGTACAGATATGTGTGAGCCGGTCTGTTGTTGTCATTGAAGAGGCTCCTCCTGAATATAAGTTCAGGACATCAGACGTATAGACTGAACCCCGGGGGCAATGACGGCTGAAAAGTGGAGGTTCCCCCCAGTTCCAGCTCATGGTCCCCTCAGCGTTGTATGAGAATCAGTGATAATTGTGTCCTCTGTAGAAGAGAGAGGACAGGACCGGAGATGGACGGCCTCACCCCCAGACCTCCACCAAACCCTGGAGGAGTGGCAGGATCTCCCCCTGTGAATTCCTCGTCCTCTCCTGTTCCTTTCATCTTCTCCCTCGTTATGTTCTCCTCCATTAACCCATTCTGCTTGTCTGCCTCATTCGGAGTCCCCCCACAGGCTCAGTGCCTAGAGAGGACGGCTTTCCATAGAGTCAGATCATCCACAGGGAAACCTAGACAGGAGCCTAGGGCCCGGTTGATGTCCTGAGGGCCCCAGATACAGTCTTCCTCCCCCTGCATTAGGTAAACGCTGCTCACCTGCCTCACATGGAGGATGTATTGTAGGCAGTTGGTGCCTGGCAGGGTCAGTACAGACAGTGCAGATGGGGCAACTTCTCTGTGCCCGTTGCAATCTTCAATGTCAGTGAAAGCGCAGGGGGGCCAAACCTGCTACCCTGCTAGGGACCCCGTTCTGCCTGAATCCCTCTTTGACTTTATTCCATCACCAAATATTTTCTTTCCTAGTAGAGGCCATGGACTCCAAACTGAGGAGATCAACTGAGGACACGGCTGTCCCTGGTAAATTCCTGCAGTAGTCCTATGTTCTGTCCCTGGAAATGGTTCTGTCCCTGGAAATGGTTCTGTCCCTGGAAATGGTTCTGTCCCTGGAAATGGCCCTGGTTCTGTTTCGGGAAAGGGCCCTGGTTCTGTCTCGGGAAAGGGCCTGGTTCTGTCTCCGGAAAAGGCCCCGGTTGTG